TCGCTGATCGAGTCCGGAGCTCCTTGGCCCAAAATGACGCCCCCAACGGAGCCCCTGCCCTCTGCTTGCGTGGCTCGGCCGCCTTTGAGTTTAGTCGGCCGCGCTTGAGAGCGGTTCCGCAGCCTAGAAGTGGCGTATGGCTGAGGCCGTGCTGACATGCGGGTGCTCTATGCTCCCTTTCAGATGGGACAGCCGTCTGGAGGTCTTCCGCTCAAGGCGCGTTCTGAATCTTATGGCCATGGCCGCCCATTAATTTGCGCTAGATGCTCAGCAACCTCTATGACCTTGACCGGGGCTTGCCGTGCGTCTAACCACGAAATATGGTCGCAGGAGGCCTAGAATCCCCTTCAGACTCAATTGCCTCCAGAATATTACCTTAGGCCTGGAGGGCCAGTGGCTTGGCGTCGCAGCACACGACCCCCGCCCCTTGACCAGGCTCGAACGCAACTAAAAGCACTGGGGGAAATTTGCACGTTCCTCTCGTAGATGGCTGAGTCCAAAGTCGAACTAGCCAAGCTGTTGCAGGCTCGGCACTTGCTAAGAAGTTGCAGAAACTGGCAGTGTCACGATCTACGAGCGTTTCATAATCGCTGCAAGGGAGACGGCCTCTTTTCAGGATTTTTAGGGATGACCCTAGATAAAGCCTGAATCCCTATTCTCTTGCTAGAACCCTAACCCAAACCTCTAGCCCCACCCCTCAACGAGAAGGTGTTATCACGGGCGATTCGGACCCACCTAGAGGAGATTAATGAAGTACTCGAAGCCATTGCAAGTTATATTATCGGGAATAAGAATCGGTAATTTGGGGGCTGGTCAGGCTGCGGCGGAAGACAAATCCGTCGCTGCTGACCAGGCTTGGGTAATTCTCCACATCTTTGAGGGAAGCATTGGCCATATTGCGCAGGATGACAATATTTTGGCCGCTCACCAGACCTGCCTTGATCTTTGGTTGATACTTTGAAGAGGGATTTGGGCGTCGGCCAGGAGGCTCAGTCCGTCGCTATCGAGACCCCTCTTGACGTCTGGTGCTTTCTCTGATGACCAGGAATTCGATGGTGATGGGGCTAGATAACTATTTCTGTCTGGCAATTGAACCCTATCTGGCAGCCCCGTCCAGGCTCTGCAGGATGAAGCGCCCATCGCTGGCATCCAGGACTGTTGTGATTCTTGGAACTTTATGGGGTGACCTTGCACTGGCCAGGACGTGCCGGACGTTGTTCGTGAGGCCTTTTGCGATTGTGTTGGGTTCCTAGGGCTTTAGATATGCTGGTCCCAGGCGGTGTTGGATGACCATCCGCTTGTTGTCGCAGGGCAGGCCTGTCGTAATAAATAATTTCAGTGGGGCACGTGATTGAAGCAGGGCGTAACTTTGGGAGGAAGCGCAAGCAGCGTAGTGTGTCGACGCAGCTGACGCGGAGGAGGCTGTTGATGAGGGTGTGCTAGTTCCTGCTGAGGCGGGGCTTTTGCATTCTTGCTTGAGCCAAGCGTGCGAATAGTATGCTGTTGGAGGCCGTTCCAAGTACTCCGCCGGCAAAACAAAAGTCCTTTGCCTTCAACACGCCGGATGAGAAGACCACTCAGGAGCCTAGCTTTGAAATTCTAAACCCCAAACCCTACGCCTTAAAACAGGAAGACTTGCTGAGGTAACAACCGTGCAAATTTCTGAAGTGTGGGTATCTCCAGGACATCCAGCTTTCCGATGAGCAACGGAATCGCATGCGTGAATTATTGGCCTCCATGGGAAGCCAGCAGAAGAATAAGAATCACAAGCTTTGGGATCTGAGCACGAACTATTTCGTCTGTGCGCGCGAGAAATACTCATGCGCATGGGCAGTGCGGGGTGTAGACACAACAGTGGCGGGATCATGATAATATTGCTGTGTTCAAGTTTGCAAAAGGATTGTATAAAGAACCAGGCTGTTTTGACTGCTATGGGCGATGATCTAGATATCATACGGAAGAAGTCCGCAGAAATTGCTGCGGGGCGCCGTGAGTATGATGGGGGCCGCTGCAAGTGCAAGAATTGACCGCAGGCGGAAAGAAGAGGAAGGCAAAATTTGATCAGCAGGAGGGCGAGGGACGGTTTCGGATGGTGCCAGTCGTGCAGCTGCGCCGGAAAATAGCGCCTGGCTAAAGGCAGGTGTCTGACATATTACAATGGTGGCTAGGGGAGCGCGCCACGCAAAAAAGAGGAAATTGACAATCGGCTTCATTAGATTGCTTAGTTAGGCCCATGGTTTCTAGATATATTTCGCAAGATCCCTCGTATAGGCCTATAGATTCCAAGCACGTTGTATAAGATCCATCACGTAATCCTATGGATTCCGAACATGATTTAAAAGATCCCTCATATAGACCTATGGATTCCAAGCGTATTATATATGGGTTCCAAGCATGATTTACAAGATCCCTCATGTAGGTCTATGGATTCCAGGCGTATTATATATGGGTTCCAAGCATGATTTATAAGATCCCTCATATAGGCCTATGGATTCCAAGCGTGTTGAATATGGGTTCCAGATATGATTTATAAGATCTCCTATGTAGGTCTATGGATTCCAAGCGTGTTGGTCCTGGTTTCCAGACATGATTTATAAGATCCTTCATATAGGTCTATGGATTCCAAGCGTATTATATATGGGTTCCAAGCATGATTTATAAGATCCCTCATATAGGCCTATAGATTCCAGGCGTGTTGTATATGATTTCCAGATATGATTTATAAGATCCCTCATGTAGGCCTATGGATTCCAAGCGTATTATATATGGGTTCCAAGCATGATTTATAAGATCCCTCATGTAGGGCTATGGATTCCAGGCGTATTATATATGGGTTCCAAGCATGATTTATAAGATCCCTCATGTAGGGCTATGGATTCCAAGCGCGTTGTACAGTGTATCCAAGCATGATTTACAAGGTCCTATGGATTCCTTGCGATTTAGAAGATTCCTCGTGTAGGCCTATGGATTCCAGGCATGATGGCTGCCGATTTTTTCGAAAAAAATCCGTGTTAAAGCGACACCAAAAGCGACGCCAGAACGACACCCAAAGCGACACCCCCACTTGCCCAGCTCACGCCGTAGCCTTTTGAGGCCTGACGTTAGGGACCCACTGTCAAGGCAAAGGCAATGGAGAGCCATCAGCGTTATTGACCAAAATGGGAGAACGTAATACAAGGTAGGCTAAGACGTCCCATGGTATAGTACGTAGGGTTTGCAGCCATGTGCTAGCAGCCATGCCAAGAAACGAAAGGGAACTTCATAGAATCAACGTATTCCTGAAGGATGTGTTCAGCCCGGAGTCTCGCATACGGCAAGATTTGATTCAGAGGGCTCAATTAGAATGCCCAGGAGAGGCTTACAAAGCCCACGCAAGGCAACATGGCAAGAGCCCGACCGAGGCTATGCTGACAAATGCGCAACGAAAGGTTCTGAAGAAGATTGTCAGCAGGGAGCACTGGAAGCAGCTGTCTGGCGAGCAGAGGGAGCAGTACATGAGCGGCCAAAACGTTATCGGCAACCCCTTCATGCAGAGCACTTGTAATGAGGCTCCAAGCGTGCAGGGCGCAGAGCCTGCCAGCGGCAGCAGTGGACCTGCGGCTGGTTCGCCTCTTGTGTTGGGTCTAACAAAGTGCCATGATAGTATGCTGCAGCTGTGAGGGGTGTGGGTGGCTTAATACGGTGGCTGGGGGATATCTTGCACCACTTAGGAACACAACCACTGCAATTACTATAGAGTAGAAGGTACGCTAGGTGATGCAAGATTTCCTCCTTCCATCGTCTTAGGGAGAATACTATATTGTGCGCAGTCCCCCCTTGGAAAATGCCACAACTGAGGAATACATCGGTGGTCGCAGAAGCTCCTGCGGAGCGAGGGCGCGACGGCCCAGTGCAGATTAGCTTGGTCCCTAGAAAGCGCACGGCTGCCGAGACAGGGCCAGAAGAGGAGCTGGAGAAGTCTGCGAAGGTTACTGGCTTGACAGTGGGGCGAAAAACGCTTAAGCGGCGCGCGGACGCTGCCTGGGACACCAGTGTTTCGAAGTGCAGCAGCGCAGAGGAAGCTGCTGAGGTGTTGAAGCGTCTCCTTGCAAGGGCTGAGAAAGAGTGGCCTGGCGTCACAAGCGCTGTATCGCAGGCTGCCGCAGGTCCTGCCGCAATGAGTTCGGACTGCGATCGCTGCAAGCGCCTGCTCACAGGTCTTTCAAACTTGGCTCCATTGCAAGGAGACAAGCTTTCGGTCCCGTATGCAAGTGTGCGACGACACTTGGACGGCTTGGTGCGGCAGGAGTTTACTTCTAGCCAACAAGCAAATGAACAAGGGTACAGCATAGGCCGAGCACGATGGGCTGCCGCAGCAAACCCAGAAGAGCCCGTCCACCCTGGGGGGCGGCCGAGTATGGTGAACAAGGCGTCTGTGATCGCCATGGTGAAGAAAGCTCTGGATGAACGGTCACAGCCATCCTCAAATATTTGCAAGAAGGATGCAGAGTGGGTAGTGGCCCACTCCTTGACAGACACAAAGACCGAGAAATATAATAGCAGCGCTGATGTGCACATGGCGATGTCGGAAAGCACCTTTATGAGAGTGTTGAAGCAGCACCGCACGGAATACAAAAGACCACGCGCAGTCAGTGATTACCGCCAGCATTGCTCTGACCTGGACACAAAGGTGTTGCCAGCCATCCGCTCGCTCCTTCAGGAGCATCGTGCAGCTCTGGAAGGGCTAATGCCAAGCTACTTCGCGGCCTTTGACACCCATGCAGCCCAAGCAGACTTGTCTTTTGAGACCCAGCCAGGCTTGTATGTGAAAGAAATTGAGCATTACATTGCGCGACACTGTGAATCGAGACCTTGCGCCAAGCATGCGGGGTCGAACTTTCCCTGCGGCCTGCTGTCCTTGAGGAAGCGTGGCAGCGGCTTCTGTCAGCGCTACCGCTTGGACCTCCACGAGAACGAAGCAGCAGCCGGACATGTTCTCCGCTCGCACCTGAAGCTTTTGCTTGCCTATCTGCACCATCGCAATGCGAAGGATTTACAGCACGCCGCCCTGACAGACTTGTTGGAATGCCCGCCGGTTGGAACTGCAGTCCTCCTATCAGATCACAAAGAGCTGGAAACAATACCGCAAAGTTGGCGGGAGACTGGGGACATGTTTTTTGCTCAGGCTCGGCAAGAACTCTCGATTTGGGGAGCACTTCTTGTAGAGCATGACCAGGGCTCGACTGCAGCAACGCCGAAGATTTTGAGAACGCACATGTTGTTTGTCAGCA